CATTGATGCAATTTATGGTAGTGAATTCAATTAAAAATTCTCCTATCAGTGTCTGCCAAGTTCCTGTTCCTAATAAATCTGCTGTTGGAGAGGAACAGAAGTCTATAAGACTGTTTTTATTGCATTTCTATTACAAGAGCACAAAATAGGAATTTTCCGATTTGCTACAACGCAGTGACTTCAAATAAAAATAAAATATCTGTAGAGGTCCTATCTTGCTCTATTCTCTTGGTGCCTTTAAGATTTTCTCATCTTTTTTTCTTTCACCAGACGTTGAAGTCCGAGAGTGAATCTAGGGATGTAATGTTTTCCAAGCCAGTGGTTGTTTACCTAAGGAAGATGAAGTGATAAGTTCTTTATTTTTTTCTCTTCCAAGTTCTTAAAATTGTTGCTTAAGCAGGAGGACTGTATGTGAGATCAGAAGGCAGTATTGTGTGTTGTTTTGTTGAAAATACTTCGCCTGCTTTATTATCCTTTATTTTGTCTCTGAAAATTTATCTTTCTTTTTTTTTTTTTTTTTTCAGTTTAACTTAGAGTTTTTCAGGACTCCAACAAGGCTGTCCTGTACCAAAAAAGTTATGGCTATGTCCCCACTGAGTTTTGAGGCTGAGTCTTTCTTTCCTTCTTCTCTCGCTCAGTCTGTCTCTTTCCTTCCTTCTTTCCTTCCTTCCTTCCTTCCTTCCTTCCTTCCTTCCTTCCTTCCTTCCTTCCTTCCTTCTTTCCGTTCTGAGACAACATCTCACTATGTAGTTCAGGCTAGCCTTGGCTTATGTAGCCCACAATGGCTTCGAACTCACAGTGATTCTCCTAGCTCAGCCTCCTGAGTGCTGCGATTATCAGTGTGGGCCACCATGCCTGGCCCACCTGAGTGCTTTAATAAAAGGGCTGGTGGACATGAATGTGCCCTGGGCAGCATTTAGCTCTGAAGCATCTTCCAAGTAGTATTCTCCAGACCTCTGACTGAGGCTGTATGGAGGAGGGGCTGAGCATTCTGGAGAGGTGGGAAGACACAGGGCCACCTTGTTTATTTGGATCTGGCCTCAGACTTGCAAATTACACTCAGTGCTGTGGTTTAAATACTCATCTCCCCCGCAGAGTTCATTTTGAGTGCTAATACCTCATCGCTGCAGTGTGTGTGTGTGTGTGTGTGTGTGTGTGTATGTCAGTGGGTGGCATTTGGTATGGGGGCAGAGCCCTCAGGAGTGGGTTAATGGTTTTCCTGCAGGAGGAGGTTAGTTTTGCCACTTTCCTCTCCAGCGAGGCATCGCTGGCCCTTCCGCTTTTCTGCAGATGTCAGCACCACGTGCTTAAACATCCTTCCTTTATAAATAAACTGTGATAAATATCTTTCCTTTATAAATCACCCAGTATTCTGTTATAACAGCCAAAAGTGGGCTGAGACACAGCACAACAAAGATCCTGACATTGATCAGACTAACCTCTTTTACTTTTTTCATTAAAAAGGAAAAAGACAATGTGGAAAAAACTTCTGTAACCATCAGGCCAAATTTTAAAATTGTGTAATATTTCATTGTATTTGTTTTATGCCTCTCCCGGCCTCGCCCCACATATTACTACACATACCTGAGAGGGATTGTGTATCCCCACTCCGCCCAGGGCAATATGATCATACATTTGGACACAAGTCTAGTCCACATGCTTATACTTTTATGAATCTACGCACAACATGCCACGATGCTGCGCATCTTTGGAATTACATGCACGACAGGCTGCTGTACTTGATACTGTGGGAAGGCTCTTTCCAGTAAATGTATTTCAAGTGCCGTCCAAGTAGATCCACACAGCTAATTAATTTAATTACTGCTTCACACTTCATGGCGTTCTTCACTGCTCCAGTGAGCAGCACAGTGTACCTGTCCATCCTCTGATGAGTGTTACAGCATCTCCAGTTTAAACTACGACAGACCTTGCTGCATTGTTCTGATGATCTCATCATTTAGTATATATTTGCTAAAGACTTTGGTGAGAATCCTTTCCCATTAAGAAAGCGCCTTTTTAGGCCTTGCTTACTGAGTGTTCTAAACTCTTCTTATCAGCAGCCACACCTTTCCTCCTCTGCTCTCTCAGGTCCAAAGGGTTACCAACAATGTTTCTTCAGGTTAGACACTGTACTCTATTGAAAAAAAAAGATTTTGCAAATACAGTTTTTCCATTTCATTATGTTTTTCTTAACGTTTCAGTGCACCTGGGGTTACTCAGTTCCCTGGAGAGCTGCCCAACTAACCCACCTTTGAATCTGCCTGGATCAGCTTATAATGTCCATCATTAAAATATTCTTTTAGTATTCCATTTAAAAGTTAATTTGTATCTTAAAAACTTCTATTTAATTTATATTTTTTGTTTGTTTGTTTTTGAGAGAAGATCTCACTATATAGCCCAGGATGGCCTTGAACTCCTGACAACCCTCCTGCCTCAGTCTCCCAAGTGCTGGGCTTACAGGTGTACACCACCAAGCTCTGCTATAATTTATAATAATTGTAACCATTTTTTGGTAGGAAGATTCTATTTAAAATAAAAAAGGGAAGCTCTTAGAGATATTTTTGCACCTTACATAACAGTGCTGACTTATTTGAAATATGTAGATATATATCTATATATATCCATATATATGAATATGTGTGTTTTCAGTACAAAAACATATTTAAGGCCAGGGATATGGCTCAGTGGTACAGCCCATGTCCAGCATGCCTAAAATTCAATCCCCAGGGCTACAAAAAACAAAACAAAAAAACAAAACCAAGGAAATACAGAGATCTGGATTTTTAAAAGTGGTCTGACTATAAATACTGAAAAAGCTAGACATTTAGGAAATAAAGTAAAGCTGAATAATTTTTATATCTTCACCCACATCCTCAGTACATTTTGTGCTTCACAGTGACACTGGAATGGTATGAAGCACCCCGCACCTGCCATTTATTATGCTGGTAATGTGAGAGAACTGAATATAGGAATCTCACAGACAGTCAGTATTGCATATTTTTCTCATCAGCTGGAAGCGGGTGAAGCTTCCTGTGGATGCCACTCCAACAGTCACCACTGGGAGGCAGCAGCAGCCCCTTCTACTCCCTCACACACAGCTTCCAATATGGCGTCCTCTCCAGAAATTAAGTGGATGAGCTGGAAGAGAGGACAGGATTTTGATAAGTCCCTCACAATATTAATACAGCATTGTGTAGTCACAGCGATGTTGGTGCTATAGTTTATAGATGTATGCAGCCAATTTTCTCCTTCCCCCAAATAAACATGTTCTTCCATCTGTGTGGGCACTGTATGCACAAGTAATCGCTTTATATCAAATCCACCACAGTATGGGCCAAGATATTGTCAGCTATTAAACAAACATAATATGAGAAACATGGCCATGCAGAGAGGCTGTAAACTACCATCTAGGGAACAGAAGACATGTCCTTTTTTGTGGATGCCTTCTTATTGGTTGTAGCTATATCACCTTCTAAAGGAAAGAGACACTAAGGGAATTTACTCAGACGCATGTAATGCCTGAGGAGCACTTTGCACATGCAGTAATGCCTCCGGGTCTTCAGAGATGGTTAAGATGAAGAATATTTCCTACTTGTGGAGCTCCAGTGGTGCAATCAGTTAGCACACAGCACTTACACAGAATATTTCCTACTTGTATTGGGAGCTCAACTCATATTTGAAATGGCTTTTGCTTTCATAAAATAATTGTGGAGACTGGCCTGAAATTTGGGCCTTTATTTGAGAAAACACCTAGATTTTTAGGGGTCTTTTTGAGACAAGGTTTTGCTATGCAGTTCAGGCTGGCCTTGAGCTCACTTTGGAGCCCAGGCTCCAAAGGAATATAGGAATCTCACAGACAGTCAGTATTGCATATTTTTCTCATCAGCTGGAAGCTGGAACCTCGAATTTGCAGCGATCCTCCTGCCTCAGCCTCCTGAGTGCTGGGACTACAGGTGTGCACTACCATACTGGGTAGATACTTAGATTTTTAGGAGACTGTGGTCTCATATATTTCCCCCAGTGGTGAACTTTGATCCTTGAAATCCCAATTACTAGTAACTCCTTGGAGCTGGTGTTAGCCACTTTCCCATTAATGGGAAAGATACCCAATATCTACAATCCAAATTGCTATAGGGATGCATCAGCACCTCCAGCTGTTTTCTATGGTTCTTAAGACTGTCTTCCTTCCCCTAATCCTCCCAGACCCCATCATTCCATAAATTTTGGAATAACAAAGTTGCCACCCTTGGCACTTTAGCATCAAAAGAAACGTTTGCTTTATCAGGGCCTAGGAAAACAACGAGGATCCCAGAAGTCCACAGAGCAGTTGCCGACACTGGGAGTTAGAAATGGCTGGCTAGTTTTATTACCAGTTAATGGTGTTTGTATTTGTGCCTTTGCAAATAACCATGAGAAATCAATCGCCACGCGCGGACAGTGTGAAAAAATTAGTGACCGAGTCCTCAAGCCTGGCTGGGGGTGAGGACCGGCTCAGTAATCGCGCTGAAGAAGCGGAGGCTTGAGAAAGGCTTTCTGTGGGGCACATCGGCTGGGGAGGGACGAAGATTTGCAGTGCCTGGCGTTGATGCACCCTCTGCCCCTAACTCCATGCGCATTTGAAGAGCTCCAGACAGCACCATCGCCAACCCCATGCATGGAGAATTCACCAACTCATTCATCCTGCCAAAAGGGGTGCCTGAGAAAACCTTCTGTCCTAGGTCTCTGAAAGGCACAGAATTATAACGGTTAAGAGGATTCAGAAAGTAAGGTTTAAATCCGGCCTCTTCTATTATTTGCTGGAGGGTCTTAGGCAAGTTATTTAATATCCGCCCCCCCATCCATTTTCTGTCTGTTAAGTGCAAATCCATTTTGTATTCCAGTTGCCTGGGTTATTTTGAGACTAAACGAGGAGCTGTTGGCAGAGCGTTTCTCGCCTTACCTGGCAAGCGCACAGGGCGCAGCGCTAAGTAAGCACATGCGCGTCCTGGAGCAGAGCAGGCGCGGGTCCCACCAGTGACTTTCCGGACAACCTGCCTGTCTCTCGGAGCAGCAAGGCGGAGTTCTTTGGGACTCTCGTCCACTCCTTGGTCAGCAACTCCGCAGATTTATTTTTGGCTCAGGGCCTAGTGATGCAAGCTACGTGGCTTGCAGGCGGGTGTGGAGCTGGGGACAGCCTGTGAGGCTGCACACGACACCCGCTTTGGCCTCAGCCTGGGACAGTGAGAAGGCCCACACGACAAGGCGGCCACCGTCTCTTTCCCAGGGAGGCCAAGACCCCAGCCGATCCTCATCCTGGAACCCTGGGTCGGGAGGGGAATTTAGGCTCGCACCTCTCGGGGCCAGAAGCCCAAGCCTTTGAAGGCGGGGTCCGTGCAGGGTCCATCTCGGGACGTGAAAGCGCGTGAGAATGTCCCTTCTGGCACAGGGGCCCCGGGCGAGGCCCCGGGAGAATCTCCGCCCCCGCCTGGGAGCTCTGCCCCACCGCAGCTCCTGCAGAAACAAAGGACCGCGGTGCGGCCGGCGGCCGGGGGCTGGAAGCGGCCGCGCGGGACGCTCGCTCTTCCCATTCACACACTCGCCAGGAGGCCGAAACGCGCAGAAGTTACGGTGACACTGCCGGGGTTCTCTCCTGCGCGGCATTTCTGTCAAGGATAGGGAGGGGTCCCCCGCGTTAAACGTCTGTTTTTCAGCTCTTGAGGCGACCAGGAGATGGCGCCAGGGCTTGGCTCTTAATTGAGTCCTTGGGCCCGAAGAAAGAGACCGCTCAGCGTTTCCCTGTCTGGATTGCTCAGGAACTCAGAACAGAAACCTGCCGCAGCATTCCTGGGGTTAAATGCTTTTCTCTTTTCAGGAGGCGAGAAGGGAGTTTCGGGCTGTGGTACCTCACATGTTCCGTTACCGATGCCCCAGGACAGAGGGGCTCCCTACCGCGGTGGTCCTCCTCCTGCTCCAGCACGCAGCACGGTTTGCAGAGGGACTGCGCGTGACTAAGGTTAAACTTCCCAGCAAGGTCGTATTATTTGGGAAACAGTAGACGTTTCGGATCATGCCACTTTTTATTTTCTCCTCAGACCCTTTCCATCCATCTGTTGTCAGCCCCTAGACCAATGGCGCTGACGCCAAAGATCCCAGCACTTTCTGCTAGGAAGTGTTTAATTAATAAAAATAATCATTACAACATGAGAACCGCGGGCCGTGCCTGCTTCTTGTGTTCTAGAGTGTACGAGGAACAAAAAACTTAGGTCATCTTCGCATTATGTAATCTTTTTTTTTTAAGAGAAAAAAATAAAAATAACAATAAAACAATTTCAAAACAGGTTAGTAGGAGAGTTACAATAATTAATACATTGTGTATTGTTGTCTTCAAAGAAGTTATTCAGAGTACAAGGTATAGGCATGATATCTTATCCAAACAATAATAGCACAAACCTTTCTTTTCAATGAACTAAGACAAACTAGCTGTATAACTATCTTAACTATCTCGTGTATAAATATATATTTTTCTTTTTTCCTTCCTTTCCCCATCACAGTTTGTCTTTTCTTTTGAACAGCTTTTCCCAAATTCATGATATCTATTGTACATTTTGGATCTTATTTATTCCTTCAGTTTCTCACACTAGTGAGACAATACGATGTTTACACATGAGTCTGATTAATTTCACTTGTGAGTGCGGTCACGAGTTGCATCCATTTACCTATAAAAGTCTCTAGTTTATCCTTCTTTATGACTATTACTTCATTGTATAAAAAAATCTTTTTTATTCATTCCTCAGTTGATGGACATTTGGTTTGTTTCCAAGATTTAGCTATTACAAACTGTGCTGCTATAAACATGTGTGCACACATATCGCTGTGGTATGATGTTTTTAATTCTTTTGGGAAGATACCCAGGTAGAGAATAGCTGGGTCAAATGGGACCTCTAATTCTAATTTTGTGAAGAATCTCCACACTGATTTCCACAGTGGTTGCACCAGTCTATACTTCTACCAACAGTGGAGAAGTGTTCCTTTTTTCTCCACAGCCCCTCCAGCATTTGTTATCAGTTGATTTCTTGATACTAGCCATTCTTTCTGGGGTGAGATGGAATCTCAGTGTTGTTTGAATCTTCATCTCATGAATGACCAATGTTTTTGAACATTTTTTCATATATTTATTTGCCATTTATATTTCTTTATCTGAGAAGTGTGTTGCAATATGTAATCTTTTGTGGCTTGTATTCTATGATCCCATTTTTCAGCTCAGAAAACTTGTAGGTTCCGTAGTTCATCTAAAGTCATATAACCTGTGGGCAGAGGTTAGGGATGGAAACCCTGGTGATCCAACTTCAGGCCCCTATGATAACCACTAAGCCTCACAAAACAACAAGTGTGCAGGTACGTGGGTGTCTGGGAGATGGTGTTCAGTGTCCCAGGTGATTTGATCTGCTGAGAAGCAACTCAGGTACAGAAAGGTGAGGGGGTCATTTAGTGTTCAGTAGGGACTCAGCACTGTGCCATGTCTGGTAACTTCTTGCAAACTTCAGAGACTTACAAGATCTGAGCTGCCTTCTTCTTCTCTCTTTGGCTTGCTTGTTACTCTCCAGGCACCTTTTCTTTTTAGTATTTGCCAAGCCTGTTTCTACCTCAGGGCCTTTGCACCTGCTAACCCCTGATTGGCATGGTCTTCCCTAACATCCTTACAGGGCAGCTGTTTTCCTGAAAACTCAGCATAGACAGTCCTTTCTCACCAGAGAACCTAATGTGGCTTCACAGGACCCCTCCTGTATTACTCTGCTCTGTTTGCTCTATTGCTTGTGGGATGTCTCATATTATTTTTCATTTGTTTTCTTGGCTTGTTTACCTGGGTGTTATCTGTTTCTCCTCATTAGAATGTAAGTGCTGCAAGGCAGGGATTCTGTCAGTCTGGCTTGCTGTTATATTCCTAGAAACTAGAAAATTCTAGACCTAGAGGAGGTACTTCATTTTGTTTTTAAAATTATAGCTTTTATTACATATTAATTTTGCAAAGTAATAAGTTTCACCCTGACATTTCCATACATGGGTACATCAGCTTTGATGATATCTACCCTCCCCTCCACCCCTCTTTCCCCTTCCTCTATAGAGAGCTGCTTAATCATGGTTGTTGAATGAATATGATGGGAGAGGACTGTCAAAGCTCTGGCCAGGAAGCTTGAGTGCAGTTGGAGAAGCCAGGCTGACTCACAACAACCGGGCCAGTCCAAGGCAAAGGTGGAGGCAGCCTAGAATAGTGGTTACAAGGAGGCGCTCTGGGCCAGGGGTGTGGCTCAGTGGTACAGAGTGCGGTACCCACTAGCTATGTGACCTAGGACACTGCAGTTAGCTCTTTTGTGTCTGAAATTCCTCTCCAGTAAGCTGGCAATGGCACTGATGATCATGTTGGTGATGGTGCCTTCCTTGGGGGATGTCTTGAGGATTAAATGAGTTAGGTATGGAGTGCTTAGGATGGTGCCCCGGGTGCAGTGCTGTATAAAACAGTGTGAGACAAAGCACACTCAAGCAAAGCCTGTGGTTTTAGAGATTCAGAAACATGTGCTGGAGAAGGCAGGGCTCCTTAGAGGGCGAGGCTGGACTGAGGAAGGCCGGGGAGTCTGAGGGCACACTTGTCTTCGCTCTGTTGCCTAACTTCTATACAGATATTTATTCAAGGAATAGTTATTTATTTTTCTATTTATTTTTATTTAATAACTATTTAGTAATTTTCCAACAATTATTTATTGAAGGTTTACTCTGTGCCAGGACCTGGAATGTAGCGATGAGAAAAATGATTAAAAGGAAAACAAATAAATTTCATTGATTCTTCCCTGTCAAAATTTCTTCTTTTTTTAGGGGGTGAAGAAGATACTGTTTGGTTTTTCCTTCCTACCTGGTTTAGATTCCTGACTTACATGCTTTCAAGAAATATTTATTGAGTGTGAGCAAAACAGGGGTTAATAGGTGATCTCTACCGACTTCTACCCTTCTACCTCCCACCTCCATACTAAAGCAATCTAGGAATTCTTTATATACAATGGAGATATATATATGGTATTGTTTGGATTTAACATTCAGAGTGATGCTCCAAAAAATCCACAACTTCTTTCTCTAAACACAGTCTTTCTTGTCCCAGATGGGAGGGACAGGATATGGTGAGTCTGATGAATCTTGAATTGGCTCTGGTGATTCTACTTGGCGGGCCTACCGATTCCACACCCTCTGCCCTCAGTTAGATTCAGCCAGCATGCACCGAGCAGTAAGGTTATACTCTGAGAACCCAATGTACAGCTCAGCTTTATAAGGGGGAGGTTGTGATTTGGAGGAAGGATTTGTGGGAGACAAATGGAAAGGGGTCTCCTTTTTGAGGTGAAGACAGCATCAAAGCTTCCTTACTGATCCAAGAGAAATGATTACAGTGGTGTGGTGAGCAAAGTCAGTGGATTTCCAACATGAGCTCCAGGTTGATTTACAAAATCTCACTCACTCCTGGGACATGGCCTCAGGACATGACAGCAAATAATAACATTTAATTAAAACACATAAAACAGAAGCGTCCTCCGTGACAGCTCATGTCAAAATCAATGCAATGCAAATTTCTAAAGATCATGCTTGCAGGCAGTCAGGAGGCTGGGGCAAGGAATTCCACAACAAAGAGTCTTAGTGAAAGGGAACTGACTTCCACCTCCTGTGACTGGATACCCAGGCCTTTGAGATCTCTGGTTCAAATCCCTCACTGTACAGAGGATAAGTGGAGCCCCAGAAAACTAACAATTTCATGAAGTAATTAGTAGTCGGGAATCTGAGTTTCAGGTGGTGTTCGTCCCAGCGACACTTTCTGAGTCTCCGAGTTATTGGTGGATGTGCCCTCCTCCTCCTCAGACGTGGCGCCTGGATCCACAGCTCAGATGATGGGCCACATCGTCCCACCTGTGACTCAGATGCCTCTCATCTTCTCACAGCACATGACATCTTCCATGCCTGAGTGCATCTCAATAAAGGTTTTTAATTGGCAACCTGCAGGGTGACATTTCTAAGTAGAATTGCTTCTTTGTGCCTGGAGGTCCCTCCCTGTCGCTTGGATAGGGCGGAGCCAGCTTCACAATCCACTTTTTCTTCCTGAAAGGATTTCTCAGGGAACGAGGACGCCTTTCTGGATCTAGATGAAAAGGCAAGGCCCCCCTTATTCTCCTTTAATACAGTTAGAACACAATATAATTCCACAGAAAATGGAATTTTATTTTCACCCAAAATGAGAACACATGGGTTAAACGTTAGAAACCTGAGTAGGTTGTGGGGGTTCGGGTTACGTGGGGTTTCCATCGGTTCCTGGCTCTTTGTCTGGAATTTGGGCACAGAGTTCTGGAAACCCTGCTTTCTCAACAAGTGTCTTGGCACTGATAGCTTTGACTAGCGTGGAAATGGGAGATGCCTCAAGTCTTAATTGTATTTGCACATTTAACTGGTAGATGGTATCAAATCACAACAGTCAAGAATGTTTGTAGTTGCAGAAAGGTGGGATTGAGGTGGTCGTCGGAGTTTATTCTCTAGGGTGGCCACTGTCTCCTTGGGCCCAGGCTCTGTCTGAAAATGCTAGCCTTGCCCTTGCTCACAGGCTGAGGAGAGGCATCTCCCAGAAGCAGCCTGGCCTGCGCTCCCCTGCTTATTTCGTCCACTACTGACTGCCTAGAATGAAGTGTGATCAAAATATATGCATACTTACATTTAAAACATTTACTTCAGCAAAAGACACATTGCCATTCATCACCTTCAGAATGCTCCCCCTCGCATGAACACGGGTATCTCGTCATCCCCACGCCCACTTTTGGAAACAGTTCTGCAAGTGCTCCTTTGTGTCTTTATGAGATGTGATAGAGAAGAAAAGACTGTGAATGCAGCTGCCAGTGCCATCCAATGGGAAGGTGGGCTCATAAAAGCATTACTGTGTCCTCATACTCATCGTTCATCAGATCGGGCACCGCGCAACTTCCGGCTCTTCCCCAAAGTCACAGTGAGCATGAAAGGTAAACATTTTGTATCTGTTCAGGACATCAAGGCAGCCATGACACTGCAACTAAGGATACCAGATAGGGTACTGTTCTGGGGGGCATTAATGGCAATGTCTCTTTTACTGTAACAAAATTTTAAAAGAGTTCTATATTCACCGTAGTTTTTGATCATGCCGCGTAGGTGTGGGTATCAGGTAGCTGGTGTCTCTGTGCAGTCAGATTCACAGCACAGACAAACAGGGGGATTTTAAAAAGGGCTGGTGGGTGGTGGATGTGGGAAAGCAGGAGATGCGTGGCAAATCCTAGGTCAGGAGTTCTCCCACACTCTGTAAATAGGAGGGAACTGGCAGTGCCGAGCTGGTTCAAAGGGATGAAGCTAAGAACCTTGTTCTGCTGCAGAACTTGCGTAATAATTTGGCCTTCCACTTATTAGACGCTTACTTTGCAGTGGGCAAGATTCATTCAATGTCAAAACAATCCTAGGACAGTTATTCTATTTTTAACCCCTCTGATCTGATTTCCAGCTTAAGTGCTGTGAGCAAGATAGCTAAGTGCGCGCTCAGGGCCAAGGATATAAATCAATGCAATTTTGCTCCAAAAGCTGTGCACCTGACCACTATACAATCCTGCCTTTCTGCTGCAAGCATGCTGCCTGTGATTAAGATTTTATGCTTTATTTACAGTGGCTGCTGGAGATTGTGCCTGAAGGTTTGTAGCTTCTAGTAGTTCCTCTAGAGAGCTTAGTTTGTAACTGAAAACAGGATGAAACTAAGCAAGTTTGCTGATGAACTGGGGTCCTGTTGGAGCTACCTGTGATGAGGGCAAGAAGAAGACCCGTGCGTCTGCACGCACTGTCTACATTTTAGCTAACAGAATGGATGCTGTCTGCTAGCGATGAAAGCTGGTTGGCAGAGGACTTGGTGGTGATTGGCCTGAGAGTGAATTCATGGAAAGGTGGTGTTTCTTGGCACATAATTCATGGATTTTGTGTGTGTTTTTGTCACAAAGACACGCAAACTATTTACAGGGAATAAGACAGGTGCATCAGAAAGGGCAGTAGGGTTGCACCTTCATTGTTCTAATGTAAGGAAACAGAAGAGCAAATGTGTGGCTAGTGCCGAGGAAGAAGCACCAAGAGCTGAAAACCCTCATCTCAGCGGCTCTTTGTATGGGGATAGCTGGTAACCCAGCAGCAGGGATGGGCTTGAAAGGTGGTGATGTCAAGTTAGGGGTTTTGAGGGCTTAATTCTGTTCAAGTTCAAGGAGACAACTCTTCTTGGCTCAGCCAGTCTTTGAAAAGAGTTGGTTGATGAGAAAAATATCCAATCATACATTTGTAAAAAATGTTTTAATTATTAAAAAATAATACATGATAATAATATAAAAATTCTAGGTAAGAAACTCCTTCATTTATTTCACAAAAATTTCTTAGCTATCATGGTCTAATTTATTTTTAATGGTAGAATTACTAATTTAGAAAAACAAAAATAATATGAGTTGTGAATAGATTTTTCAGTGTTTTCATCAAGAATTTACTACATGCACACATTTCCCAAATTTTTTTAGAAAAAGAAAAATTTCCCTATTGTGAGATGAAATGTACAGGTGTTATATGCAGCCTTTGTTTAAAAACCTGTTAAAATCAGGTTTTTTTAGACAAAAAACCCACCTAGCATAGTCTGAGTTTTTTTAAAATCAATTTTCACAAAGATTTTTTAAGTCCTGTGCCAGACAGTTTAGGCACTTGGGATGCAGAAGTGAGGAAAGCAGTTGCCTTTGAGAGCTTGGACTCCAGTGGGGAGGAGGTAGTAGCCTAATAATTAAGTCAAGTACCTGACTAATATGTGAGAAGAGGGGAAGTATTATGGGCCAAAGTGGAACAGGGTAAGGAGGGAAGGTGCTGAGGAAGGGGCTGATGTCGAATTGGAAAGGGTGGTTGGGATAGGACTCTTTAAAATGATGACAATTGAGCAGAAACCCAATGGAAGTGAGGGAATGAGTGAGACCTGGGGTAGAGGTAGGCAGGACGTGTCAGGCAGAGGCTTTGACAAGGGGAGGAGAGCCCTGTGCCTGAGCAGGGTGGGTCAAGGAAAGAAGCAATGGAGACAACAGCAGGCATGACGTGGGAGCCCTGGAGGGTTCCCACCAGAGGTGTGAGAGAGCCTGGCTTTATGTCTCAGGAGGTTTGTGTGAGCTGGGGTATAAAGGCTAGATTGTGGGTACAAGGGTAGAAGTAGGGAGGCCGTTTAAAATGCTCACACAACATCTAAATGAGAGAAGACAGTGGTTTGCATTGAGCTGGAGAGGTAGAGCTGGAGAGAGGCTCTAGGGTTTTGGATAATCTTGAAGTTAGAGCCCGCATGGTAGCTGATGGACTAGATGTAGGTACAGGAGAAAAAGGAGAATCAAAAGATGCCTCCAGGGTTTTTTTTTTTTTCTTTTTTTTTGTCTTAAGCAGTTGGAAGAATGAGTTTGCCTTCAACTGTTATGGAGAGGACTATAGGAAGGATGGATATTTGGGGGGAAGTAAGACTAATTAAGTTTTGGAAGTGTCATGATCAAGACATTCAAATGAGGATGGTGAGTAGTTAGCTGGATTTTAGAGCTGGAGTTCAGGAGTGAGGCTAGGCTGAGTTATTATTGCATTTAGATAAAATAATGAGATTAGATGAGATTATCAAGAGAGTAATAAATAGCACCAAATTCTACCATCTAGGGATAGCCAAGGTTAACATCATGGCAATTTCTTCTTCAGATTTCTCTGTCTGATATATAATTAAATAATACATGTCATAGTTTCTGATACAATAATGCTTCGTAATAAGGAAACTAGCATTCAGTCGTGTATAACTTTTATTTTTCTTTCTCATGGGCCTGTTATTTGTCTGGAGTATCTTTTCTTAGATTGTGGCTTGACTGGCTTGGTTCAAGATTTGGGTTGGTTTTGCTCCATTCCACTGTCTTTACATTCCTCTTGGGTCAGGAGCTTCCAAGGACATATTTTTCTTGTGGCAATTACAGAAATACAAGTGTTTGGGTAGACCCATGTTATGCCTCTTAAGGGCTTGGCTTGGAACTGACAGTCCCTTTGGCCATATTCCCTTGGCCAAACAAATCAGATGGCCAAGCTCAAGATAAATGAGGCTGGGAAAAGTCTTTTTCCCACCCCAGTGCACTCCAAGATCACATGGCAAGGATAAAGTGAAAAACTGCAATAATGATCCGACTTCACATAATGCACAATATATAATTTTAAAATTTTATTTTAATATAATATACAATATAAAATTTTACATAATGGAATGGCACCATATGTACAATTTTATACATTTTTTTACCAAAATATAAAGTATGTATTTTCCATGCATATAATATTTTTAATGTCTGCGATGTTTTCTGTTATATGGATGTACAATAACTAACCTATTGCATCTCCTATTTATGGACATTGTAAATGTCTATAATCTAGAGGAACGTAACTATCAGAATATATATATAATTATAGAAGGGCTAATTGTATTGTCTTATAGGGTCAAGGCTGGATAGCCCACAATGGCTGCACTCGGGTGAGCCAGAGAATACGGTACTGCTCTGTCCAGGGAGCTAGAAGCCTCAGAAGGAGACCAACGATGCAGCCCCTGTCTGGAGGCCTGGGAGCTCCCAGGAGAGTCACTGCTGAGTCCACAGACAGCCTGATGTCCACAGGCAATGGCAGCACAACATTCACCATCACACTCTTTTAGGTTATTCGTGATTTTTTTGAATGTTTTTATGACTACAAACAATGGTGAAGGGAATATTTTATATTGACATCTTTACACAATTTTCTAATTTCAATTTAAGTAACATCTCTAAAATTAGAGTATACAGGTCACCAAAGTGTAAACATGCTTAAACTATTGAACCATTTTGAAAAATTGTCATCCAGAGATGCTATATCAGGTTATATTCCCATCCACAGTGCACGATAGTATTCATTTCCAGAAGCACTCCTCGATGTAGAGCATTTGCATTCATTTTCCTCTTTGCCAATTTGATAAGTGAAAAATATTCTTTATACCTTTTATTTTCAGTGAAGAATATTTTTTCATTTGTATATTGTCCAGTTGGTATTTCTTCTTTTGCATGTTGCTTGTTAGTTCTGTCTGCATTTCTAACAAGGTGGCTTCTCTCTTTCTTTTCTTTTTTTTGTCTTTTTGGAACAGGATCTTGCTGTGTAGTTCAGGCTGGCCTTGAGGTCACTTTGTGGCTGAGGCTGGACTTGAACTCACAGCGATCCTTGTGCCTGAGCCTCCTGAGTGCTGGGATTACAGGAGTGAGCCATCACACTTGGTTGGTTTTTCTTTTTCTAATTGACTTTTTAAAAAAGTTTATGCACCACATTAATAAATATAATTATTTTGTTGAAATATTTGGGATCGTTTTGGAAATATAGAATGTGTTTGTTTCCATTTTTTGTCACCAGAACAAATGATCACAAACTTAGTGGCTGTGATTGTTCTGGAAGCCTGAAGTCCAAAAGCAGTGTCCTTGGGCTAAAGTCAAGGTCAGCAGGCTGGTTCGTCTGGAGCTCTAGGGGAAGTCTATGTTGCTGCTCTTCCTAGCTTTAAAGGCTGCCTTACCATTCTTTGGCTTATCACCTTTCCTCACGTCACATCATACTTTTGTAGGGACTGTGCCGCTGAGCCAGAACCCTGGCCCCACACAGGTCATTTGTAGTAAGTCAAGTTACTTCTCCATCTTTCTTTCTTTCTTTCCTCCTTTCTTTCTGTCTTAGCATTTTGGGTTACTTTTACATCTTAAAAAATTATTAAATACTACAAATACATGCATAAATAAAAGATGGTATAAAGAGTAATAATAAAATTAGCACCCATGTTCACACATCCCAACTTAAAAAAACCCAACATTACCAGCACTTTGGAGGCTCCTGGCTTATTTACCACAACTGAATGGAGGACACCACTGTGGTAAATTTGGGGTTTAGCATTTCCTTCTTTTATTTTACTGTTTTGTTTTTGAGGGAGGGTCTCATATGTAGTCCAGGCTGACCTTATACTCACTGTGTAGCCCCTATTAGCCTCAAACTCATGATCCTCATGCTTCCCTCTCCCAAGGGCTGGGATTACAGGCGTGTATTACCATGCCGGGCTTCCCTGACTTCTGTTTGTAATTCTAACACGTGTGAACCCACTTTAAAATATTCTTAATTTCCTGTAGAGTTGCACTGATTTGTGGACTAATAGGGTGTAACCGGCATCTTTGCAATAGTGAGTCTTTTATCTGATACCTTTTTTGTCTTTTCATTTATTTATGGTTTCTCTGATAAGCTTCTCTTGCATTTTTGTTTGTTTTAGTGCTGAGGATCAAACCCAGGGCCTAGCACATACTTTGTCTTTTGATTTTTATAGCTTGCATAGAACACCCTGGTTATTCAATGCCTCTTTTACATATAGGCACAGGTAGTCTTTTCTCCAGGCCTAAGTCTAAAGTGGTCATCTGTGCACTTTTCTCCAAACATTCTTTTTGTTTACTCTCCTATCTTGGCCCTGCCAAGTCTCTGACTGTCCAATGGAACCATTAACCACTAGCTATGACTCAGTGCAGATTTTGGCCTGAGGTTATGTATTTCTGGGAAAGGTAAATAGGACAGGCCCTATTTAAGTTTGGTATCCAGGCCGTTTGTAAGGGTTTTGATTCTGGGTGGCCAGAAACCAATAAATGTCCACAGTGTTTAAGGAAGGGATGAGTAAAAGCTGAATGTTGACTAATATCTTTTCTAACACTGGCCAATGATATCAGAGTGGTCCTCCTGCTTTTTACTAATGTTGCTGTGCTGTAGTCATCTTGCCCCACAGATGTTTTGATGCCTTCTAAAAGCAAATACTTAAGCTTCTGTGGAGATATATTTGCAAAGGAGCAAAAGGAATTCTGTGCAGGCTTATTCACTGTGGCACCATTTGTAATAGTAACGAAAGATCAGAAGTAATGGAAATATTCCTCAATAGAGAACTGGATACTCACAGTACATCTGCACTACATAGAAAATATTATGCAACCCTAAAAAAGTGTGCAGAATGAAGTATATAGTATGCTATTTCTTATTTAAAAAGGTCAGGGAGAGGATAGATATTTTGGGCACATGCATAAAGAAACTCTACAAATTCACAGGACAATAATAACAGTAGTTACATGGCAGAAAATAGTTGGATAGAAGACAAAGGTAAGAAGACTTCACTATAGGCTTTCTCATGTTTATTTTAAAAATTTGAATCATATTGTCTAGTTAAGCTTTTTTCTCCCTTATATGCCCATATAATATCCACAGCAGGTATCTTTATTCCATCTGAGACCCCTGCCTGGTGCATAATTCTACCCCAGCCCACAGAGCTTGTCTGAACCAAACCTTCCTGCAGGGATACCTATTTGTATACTCTTTTGGAGATTAAAATCGTGATGGAGTAGTCATGAATATTTAGTTCAAAATGTTACCTCTTCTTCCTGGACCAGCTCCACAGAGATATGAGAAATGAAACTACATTTCATTTCTCAGCTTAAGAAAGCATGATGAAAATGTCCCCCCTTATTCTATATAATTAATATGGACTACTATTACTACTACTAATAATAAAATGGAAGTACTGAGGGCTTGGTATGAGATTTTATATATTCACATGCATTCACTGAGCCAATGAGTTAACATTTGTTGGATCCTCTAGTGTGCCAGCTCCCTGGCTGGCTGTGGTCAGCTTTGCATTTAGATTACACTAGTCATTAGTGAGGAGAGGTGATAGGCAGGGTATGGGCTGTGAGCAGCAGGAAGGAGCAGGGGGAGGAAGAGGAGATGAGAAGGAGGAGAAGAAGGAGGAAGAGGGATGCACTCTCTTGCTGACTCCTTCGCTGGGACAGTTAGGACAGTCTGTCCAGCCACCACTGGCAAGCTTGGGAGGAAACATCTGACCTTACACAAAACCTGTTCTCTGTTGTCTGCAATGGACATCTGCAAAAATGAGCAGAACAACAGCCTTGAGGTCTGTTTTTCCAGAGGGCCTAATGTCCACTTTCTGATTCTAGTTGCATAGTGAATTATTGGTGCATTTGTTTTGTCATGTTGCTCTTTCTCAGCTCAGAGGCTTAGGAAGGTGATCAAAATGAGAAGCCCGACTGTGCTGTTGGACAGTATGGGCTGACAAATCCTGGGGAATGGAGGGTGTTGCTGAGGACTCAGACAGGTGTGTGTGTGTGTATGTGTGTGTGTGTGTGTGTGTGTGTGTGTGTATGTGTGTGTATGTTGGTAGGTCTTCCCAGGGTATCCACAGCTATAAAAAGAGCCCTGGGAATTGCAGCAGTGAAGCAATGATGTGATTCTAGACTCTTGGGTCCTGTGCTCCACCAGAAAGAATTCTTGGGGTTGATGGATGAGGTTGTCTTATGTGTAGGAACATTAGGTCACAGTTTATTCTAATGCTGGCATACATTGCATTTCATCACTGATGTCTGATGCCCAACCATTAGCAAAATCACTCTAAGGTAGGACTTCAGTGGTGGAGAAAGCAAGCCTTGGTGGCCAGGGGTGGGGACTCGGTGGGAGGGGGAGTGGAGTGGGCAGGAAAGTCTGAACCAGAAGGAGAAGGACTGGGCACTGAGCAGCATGAGGAGCAGATTATACAGAGAGCCTAGGAGCCAGGAGGTGGGGATGGTGACCCAGAGAGGTGAGGGAAGGCCTGGGCCAAATTGCCCCTGCTCCCCATTAATGTCAGGGGCTCAGATTGCTCAACATCTGCACAGGGAAGTCCACATTAATGGGGAAAGGCTAAAATTTAATACAGGCTTTCATATTTGAGCTTTTATTGCAGATTCTACAAAAAGATTCCACGGAGCCATTGTTCACCTGGCTGACACACACTGCCTTAGTGATCTTTGGATATTGAAGTATTTAAAGACTGCAGTGTAAGGACACACATAATATTCTGGAAGTGTCATCTTAGAGATGCTCACTTATTTAGGAAGCCACACAGAGGGAATTCTGTCACATCTTGGTGCAACTCAGCTGCTCTGTGACTTGGGGATGGTGGTCTCATTGGAGATGTTGCCAAAGAGCTGTAAACTTAGCCAATTAACTTCTATGGTTTGATATTACAGGGCCATCCTTTGTGTATAAATGCCATGTGCTTGTGTTTGGAAAAAGAGCTATCTTTTCCTTTGACAAAGGGTTGTTTCAAGGCAGTGGTGACAAAGCAGCAGGCAGTCAGTAGGTGTTGCTGAGGAAGTGACTTTGACTTTTATTTTTGACTACAATGTTTTCACTTTTGCACCGTGATAAGAAAACAGTGAGTAACTTTTTGATTCGTACTACAATAGGATTTGGATACAGAGGTCTGCCGTGCACAGTTGCAGACTCCACACCAGGCAGACCCACGCCTTCACCCACCCACTCAGCACATGCTCAGTGAGCTTGTTAGGAGCTACGTACTGGTACTGTTCGGTGCACTTGGGATGCCTGGACCAGCAAGAACAGAGCTCGTTTTGGCCCTGAGAGAGTTCACACTCATTGGGGGATATGGTTATTAATGGGATAACCACAAAAATAAATGCATTATTTCAAATGCTAATAATTGCTTTGAAGACAGGCACACAATGAGAAAAGGGAAGTTTAAGCTGAGAGCTGATGAAAAGGAAAAGGTGTTTCACCTGAAGGCAAGAGGAAGGGAAGACGCACTGAGTGTTCCAGCCCTACAGGAGTTTGAGAAATCGAAAGACCAGTGCTTTCAGACGGCAAATCTTTGTACATGGTTTTGGCCATATTCTTGAACTTGGTTGTGTCTTGGGTTCCTTGTTTGGAAATGAAGGTTCTGATACTGGCTCTCTATCCTGATACACAGCAACTGTCTCATTATTAATGAAAAATTGAGCAGCCCTTCTGAATCTTAAAACGAAAGGTGCTGTAATGGCGTAAACCCTGCCAAAAGCTACATCTAACTGAAAAAAGTAATAATAACTTGGCACTGAGCTCAGCTATGTGCATGGGAGTAGATAATAAAGGTCCTCTGTGTTTGGCTGTGTGATGGAATCATGGTTGGATTTTTTTTTTTCTTTCTGAAAACCAGAACTCAATACCTCTAAAGGAGAATTGCAGACTTTAGCCCTGATCTCCCCTTTGCCTGGACAGGATGACTCATCAGGGCCACACTGCTGAAGTCAGTGCACAGGTGGAGATTTTGCTCTTTAAAAGATAATTGTTCGGGAAACCAAAACACTTCCCTCCCTATTACCTTGTTTAAAGAGATCTTTCTTTTAGGCTCTTCACCTGAACGGATGTTTCCAGCCAGAGTTATGATGTGTCCCGGGCTAATGAGATTTTGCCGGGAATCCATTTGGAAGGCAGGCAGAGGTTGGCCTGTGCGAAGCAAGGAGGTGGCTCGGGATCCTTTCCAGCGTCTCCTGTGAATCCTGCAGATGGTCACACAGGGTTTCGGGCCCGGCTGGTGTTGAGCCAGGTACGTGTGCAATGAAAGTGAGTCCCAGGGCAAATGTACATTTTAGCATAGAAGCAGGGCCCCCTTTCCCTGGGATGAGGCCTCTACAGTGAAAAAGAGGCTGAACACAATCATGAGAGCCTCTTCCATTGCCATAGCTGAAGGTAATGGCAGTCACATCCCTGCTGCCCCCGAGAGAGCAGGCAAAACAGCAGCTCCCTGGGCTGGGGAGGATCCCCGTGTGGATCCTCTTACCCTGCAAGAAGAAGCCCCAAGCTGACCTGTACCTCCCTGCTTGCTGGGGCCACTGATCCATCTCCAGTGAGTGTTTGGCCCTGGAGAAGAGATGGGTCACGGTGACTTCAATCTCTGGCTTCTCAGCCTGGCAGCCAATTAACTCTAGGAGCTGCTGCCTGGGTAAGTCAAAGACAGGAAACAGACTACAGCCCACAAAAAGGGCAATAACCCCACAGTTCTTTGGCACTCAGAAGCAGTCACGAACCTAAGCTTTCATGATTCTAACCATTTTGCCACCATTTCTTAACCCATAACAAAGGATGTATCTTTTGGTTAATTTTTTTTCCAGGTATTTTGCTTGACAGTTCCTATCAGATAAAGGATTAATTGGTTGTCAAGATTTGGAGCTTAGAAGTGATTTCCCCTGACTGAGAAACTGGGAGACAGAAGCTGTCCTTCTGTGAGCTGCTGGCCGAGGCTGAGTCTTGAGTGGTCTGTGTACTGGGTCAGGTTTATGCTCAAGGTGAAGCCCACAGGCTGGGTCAGTAATTCTCACTCAGCCTAGGCTTATGAAATCCAAGCACTGCCTTTTGTCTTGCACTTAGAAAACACCATGTGAGAGTATCTGGCCTGTGGGGGGCGGATCTTTCCAGCTACTTCTTGCAGCTGAACTCAGACAGGTGTGCTTCCGACCTTAGCGTCACTCTGACTGTGAGTTTAGTTTCTGTAAGTCTAGTTTCCTCATCTTTATTTTTTTTTATTTTTGTCTTTTTTTTTTGGTACTGGGAATTGAACTCAGGACCTTGCACTTGCTAGGCAGGCACTTGTGTTGCTGAGCTATATCCCCAGCTTCCTCATCTTTAAAATGGGCATAATAGCACTTACTTCACTGTGAGAACACAATGATAAAATAAATGTCCTTTTTGTTGAGATTGGCATGTGGTAAACACTCCATAAATGCTTCATTAATTATTATTATCACTCAACTAATATATTAAATGCCTGCTATGTATTATTATACATTGTGAAAGACACTATGAAGTATTAAATGCAGTTTGAGAGAGAAAATATAGGAACATGATAAAGAAGTAGAAGTACAACCTGCTCTGCCAGTGAGGCCATAAGTGAGATAGAATTAGAATTAAAGACAGAGGGCAGCTAACAATCGGGAGTTCAAAGTTCATGGAGTCCTGGGTTAGTCAGAGAAGCCTTCACCGAGGAGGTGGGCCGTGGGTGGGGCAGAGTTAGGCCTAGGATTCTAACCGTTTTGCCACCATTTCTTAATCCATAAACACCCCAGTTGCACAGGCTGACTAAGAGGCACACGAGCAGGGCCGCACAAAGCTGACCATAGGTTATTTCACTCTTAGCCCAGCTGTCAGCTAACAGTAGGTGATCCTTCCACAGAGCAACCACTGTGTGTGCCTGCACATGTCACAGCCTCCCTTTCACTGCAGCCTTCATTGCTGTCGCTGGCCGTGCTTCCAGTTGGTTTGGGTCATTCTATCTCTCTCAAGATTAGGTTAAGGGAGGCAGGGACTGGAAGACAGAAGCTCATTTCGACCTAAGGTGTATTTTCTATCCACTATCACAATTTCGTGCTGGAGTATTAAGAGTCATGCTTTCACTTGTATGGTGGGTTTTTGTGTAGTTAGGGCATCTGCCAGATCCCAAGGGGGAGGGAGTGAGGGACGTCCTGAATTCCAGCTCCATTACCACACATTGAACCACTGTCCCACTTGGTAATCGGGAGGGCATCTTTGCACCTGGTAGTTTTCAGTGTTTGGCAACTGTGGGAGAGAAAATCTGTGCTCGTGACATCTGTATCTATGTGCCTGCTTTGAGCACACAGGAAACCATACTTTTAATGTGTGTGACCCGTGACACATACTGACCTGTGGGGTGTGGCATGTCCCTTCCTCTCTAAGGCAGTCAGAAAGTCCCTTGCAAATCTGGGCAGAACACAGAGGTATCGCAGTGGCTGGAAACACCTGCGCCATCTAGGCGTAGGCTTCCCTATGTGCACAGTCACCATGGAGACCTCCTGTTCCAGGTGTGAAACCCGTCAGTCTTCAGAGGGGAACTGCACGGGCAGCTCATAGACACCTGCAGAGGCACAGTGTGAGTGAGAAGTAAGCCTCAGTTTGGTTAACTCACTGGGGTTTTTTGTTCCTGCAGCATAATCTAGTTTATTCTGATACAGCAATCTTTCCCCCTTGCTAGTATTGCCTTCTGCTCTTTCCTGCACCTGCCACTCACTATTTTTACAACTAAGATTTCTGTAGTTCCACATTAGGATGCCTCATAACTACTTCCTTACTGCTAGCTGCGGCTCCCTCAATTTTCAGAAACTAACTAGAAGGTAGCAAATGGTATCCTGCCTAGACCTTGCTTACAGAACACAATGAAATTAAATAAAAAAGAAAAGATAAAAGTATACCTTTGGTTCAGACACCTTTTCCCAATTCCATGTGGATGGCTGAGTTTTCTGAACTCTGACTTGATATGACAGTTGCCTGGAGCTCTCCTGGCAGAGGAGTCAGCTCCTGTGGGTCATGGATAGTCGCACAAGAGAGAGGTTAATGTCTGAAGTCCCTACAGCAAGCAGTGTAGTATCCAAACCTGTCTGCCTTCCTTCTGCAGCAGTTTAGAAAGTTCCCCATTGCTCCTGAAAAATGGTGTCCAACGCTTTTCCCTTTCATCATAAGGGAAACTTGGGGAAAGTATCTATAACTACAGAAGTGGAAAGAGAAGTCTCTTTTACTTTTCTCCTTCAGAACTAAACTAGCCTCCCAGCCCTGCCATACAACTCATCTGAGGGTTTGGCACACACACATTCAGTCAGCCCCAGACTGGAAATATTTAGAAAAAGTTTGTAAGTATATTGACCTTGTGGAGACATTTTTCTTGTCATTACTCCCTAAACAATAAAGTATAATAACTATTTACAGAGCATTTACATTATTGTAAGTAATCTACAGATGACAAAGAGCACAGGAGCACTGCGTAGTTACAGGCAAATATCCTGCCATACTGTGGAAGGGACTTGGGCATGGAAGGGTTTGGTATTGGAGTAGAGGTCTGAAACTGACCCCGGGGATGCTGAGGGACATCGACTGGGTGGTGTAAATGACTAAAATTCATTTTCTCTCAGTTCTGGAAGCTAGAAATCCAAGATCAAACGCTGGCAGGGCTGGTACCTGGGAAGGCTTCTCCTTGGCTTGCACATGGTGAAATGGTGGCCTTTACACTGTGTCTTCACAAGACCTTTCCTCCTGTGTGTGTGTGTGTGTGTGTGTGTGTGTGTGTGTGTGTGTGAGAGAGAGAGAGAGAGAGAGAGAGAGAGAGAGAGAGAGAGAGAGAGAGAGAGAAAAAGGAAGAGAGTGAGATCTTGGGTATCTCTTCTTCTTATAAGGACATGAGTCTTATCAGGTTAAGACCCTTCTCTTATGATCTTTTTGGATCATATTATCTCCTAATGGGTCAAACTCCATCCTGAGTGTATGGACAGGCATGGGCCCACTTATTGCAAGAGCCTGTCAGGCCACCACTGATGGGTCCCATGGCAGAGAAGATTTATAAGCACTAATGGAGGTTATAATGGAGGGTCTATATATAGTGAGTCTTTTTCTACCCATAAGACATCATTAACCCAGGGGCAACCACTGACCTGGTGAAAAGCACCAATTAGAAGCGGTGATTCAAAGGAAGTCAAAACCCAACAGTGACAGCAGATGTCATGATGTTACTGCCTGTGACTTTCCCTTCCACATTTATTTCTAAAAAATAACATTAAAACTTTTGAGGTTTAAGACAAAAAGAAAAATACGCTTGGGAGCTTCTTGCCTGAAATACCCTTGCTGAGGCTTTTATTGAGGGAATCAAGCTTTTCTCTTACAAAGTCATTTGTTTGATGAGTTTTCTCTTTCTAACCACCCAGTCTCCGTGGTCCTGTTTTCCCTTACAGGAGTGGTGTGGGTGGGGTTGAAATCTGTGGCACTGTGGCAAATGACAGCGAAAATCCTGTGCAGGGGCACAAGAAGAGAACCCTTCACTGGAAATTGGGAACTGCAGCCACAAAGTCCCCCTTATTCGCTGGTGGTCAGACACAGTCTGCCTCTTCTCACTTGAGGCTCTGACAAAGTCTTTTGTGACTTCCAGTGCACACCTGGGGATTGTGCCCTGAGTTCTCAATGGTGCCTCCCTCCACAGTAGCTCATCCCAGGGAGGAGGGCCCTTGACATCCTCTCTCCTCCCCAGTACCAGCCCCCAGGCTGCTCCAAGCTCTGCAGCTGCAGCACCTCTGGTTGCCCCAGGTTTGTGGTTACTCTCACTGTTCATTTTTGCTTCTGAAAATTCTCAAACTTTGCTTTCATGTATTGGTGCACAGCTGTTTGCTGGTACCTCTCTCATTTACTCAGAACTCAAGGAGATCTTTATGCGGTAAAGAGTCCTGGCTCCATCTCAGAGGAAGGGGAAGAAACGGGAGCAGGGTACAGAGGAGGCAGATGCAGGATCCTTGTAGCCCAGAGGGGAAGATCAGACACGGGCATGGAGCTCAGGCCTATCTGGACTCAGTCCTCATTCAACCATCCACTTGTTTTTTTCTCCCCCTACAAAAAAAATCACTCTGAAGGTTGCCATTTTGGTACGTTTCCCAGTGCCTACGAGTTCTTCACTTCTAAAGCCAAGTGCAATGGAGGGCCATGTAGAAATCCAATAAGCTGGTAGAATCAGATGCTCCTGCCGTTTCTTCTTTTTTCCAAATCCAATCTAAATTTCTCCAAGTCAACTTTCAGGGTGGCTCCTGCTCTCATCAGGAAGCCTTCTCCAGGCACTGCAAGCTGCCTGGGTCTGGGGAGGACCAATGGAATTGCACTCTTCTTTTCTGATTCCATAGGGATGATGTAACTAACCCCTCTCTTTTCCCAGAGGAAAGAACCTTGCCTCCCTGTACTCCGGACTATTCTGTAACAACAGAACACTCCTAAGCAGATTAGCTGCTCATTGAGTAAGTTGGCCTTCTTATTCTGGGGCTAATCTTGACACTGAACATAGTTTGGATTTGAAAAGGCCAACTGAGATATGTGGCAAAAGCTCCAACAGCCATAAGACTTGTGACCTGGGTTAATCTGCTTCATCCCAATGTCTCAGATGTTCTGTTTGCAGGTCTGTGCTCCATCAGCAGCGACATTAAGTCAGGGTGAAGCTTCAGGTTTTACCGCAGTTCTCATTTTTGACTTTTATTCATTGGGATTTTTAAAGGAAGAATTAGGATAAACTTAATTCGTATTGAAAGTGCAAACTCAGGCTGGGGATGTAGCTCCGTGGCACAAGTGCCTGCCTGGCAACTGCAAGGTCCTGAGTTCAATTCCTGGTACAAAAAAAAAAAAAAAAAAAGCAAACTCTTAGGTCCTATCTCAGTCTGTCTGAATAAAAATGAGATGAGCTCTCCCAGTATCTTAACATTAATTACAGCTAAATTAACACAGTCAGTGGAATTTTTCATAGTGAATAAAAATATATAACTATGACATGACTTTAAAGCATAGTCTCAGACAATATGATGTAGAATTTCAAGGAGTTTAGATATCTGGGTGACCTAAATGTTTTATACTCTGATGTATAATGCGGCTTATTTGTTAAGCAGGGCTCATTTATTGGGTCTTGTGAGTCTTTCTTCTTAGCCCCTTTTGGCTGTATCATGCTGAATATGTGTTTAAAGACTTAC